CATGTTCAGGTTGTTGCATGATTGTGCGTTGGATTGCTTTGCGTTCCGTTGGGTTGCTTTCTGTTGCATGTGAAATTGCATTGTTTCGTGATCCACGTTGTCTTGGTGAGCATTGCATTTGTGAGCGTTGGTGAGCATTGCATTGGTAAGCACTGCTGTGCATTTGTTTTGTTAATTTGTGCTTGTAATGCTTCGAACCGCATTGGACCCGCATCTGGTTTGACGCCGTGGCAATGCGTTGCACTGCGCTGCCGTTTTGGTCACTCCATTGCTTGCCATTGGTGTGCACAATTTCGTATCGAATACTACGCAAATGTCTTTGTCGGCAATTCGTGTCTGCTCTGCCCGCGTTGCATATGCATTCTACTCCGTGCTCTAACCACATGTGGGTAATTACTTCAGTGGCTATGTGACCTTGTCAAGGGCTGGGGCTGACTAGAACCTAAGCGCGCGCGTGGTTATAGTCATTGTTGTTAGTGTTTTTAGGTCCCAACAACGATTCATTTGTTTTTCTGCGTTTTAGCTGCGTTTTTGTTAGCGGTTTCAGATCAGCTGGTTGCATTGTTTAACATTGCCGTCTACGACGTCCTCAGTTCCTTCTTGTGGCGTGCAGTCCTCAGCCCTCCAGCTCACTCAGTCCGACTGCTCGCCGTCCTCGGAGCCCCGCTGGGGCGTCGGGCCTCCAGGCCAGATGGCCGATTGCCGCTTTTGGGGCCATCGGGCCTCTGGGCCTGTTTCGGGCCAGCGGTGTTAGAGCGTTGTTTTTCGTTTTTAGCTCTGCGACGGAGAACGGCGGCAGAAACGACAAATGGGAGTGAAGACAGCAGGGAAGACAAGGAACAGCCTTCGACCAAAAATCAAAAAACGCAAAAGAGGTGTTGATCCACAGAAACTGGCCCACCATCGTCATCATCATCATCATCATCATCATCATCATCATCATCATCATCATCATCAATCGTCGTCGTCATCATCATCCACATCATCCACCACCAACATCATCATCATCCTCATTATCAGCATCATCATCAGCAGTATCATCAACACAACCACCATCATCAGTATTATCATCGTCGTCATCATCATCTTCATATTCTGCATAATCAGTATCATCATCATAATCATCATCATCATCATCATCATCATCATCATCATCATCATCATCATCATCATTGTCATCATCGTCAGCATCGCCATCATCACCACAACCACCATCATCATCACCACCATCCCCGCTCATCCAAGATCATCCTCATCATCCTCGTCCCTCTCCACGTGGTAACGCACGGGGAGGATACACTACCCTCGCGAGGACCCGACAATGTGCAAGCGTGAGCACCGGTGGGCAGGCGGGGCGAAGGAGGGGGAGCTCCCAGTTGGACCACGAAACGCGTGAGGAGTCTGCCAAAATGGAGGGAAGCCGAATGCGAACTGTGCCATCGGGACTTTCGGTGGAGCTCCCTATAGAGCTACGAAACGTTTTAAGGGTGTTCCGGACTGAGTGGGGGAGACGCATACAAACTACGTTGTGTCACGAAGGCACTCGGGGAGCTGGATGGCGATGGACGATGATGATGATGATGATGATGATGATGATGATGATGATGATGCTGATGCTGATGCTGATGCTGATGCTGATGCTGATGATGATGATGATGATGATGATGATGATGATGCTGATGCTGATGCTGATGCTGATGCTGATGCTGATGGTGATGCTGATGATGATGATGGTGATGGTGATGGTGATGGTGATGGTGGTGGTGGTGATGATGATGATGGTGATGTTGGTGATGATGGTGATGGTGATGGTGATTGTGATGGTGATGATGATGATGATGATGACGACGACGACTTTGATGGTGGTGCTGACAGCGAGGATTCTGATAATGATGATGGCGATGAGAACGCGCGGAGGGCAGAGGCAGGATCTGGGAGGGGGGAGAAGGATGGGGAGGGGGAACGAGTGGGGCGCGGGGCTTCGTTTCTGAGTTGTGAAGACCCAGCATCCTCCTCCTCATCATCCTCCTCCTCTTTCTCCTTCTCCTCCTCCTCCTCCTCCTCCTCCTCCGGCAGGGTGGTCTGGAAAAGTACCGTTCGGCCCTCACGGTCGCCGCGCGGCAAAGCTTGGGGGCGACCGCGTACAGTTCTAGTTTCGGAGTCACGTGACAGCACAAGCGGGCAACATTCGCACTCCGCTCGACCCGTCATGTGGCAATCCGGGGGAGGGCCCAACAAACAATAGTCTTCTTCTGCACTAACCGCGCGCGACGGCGACGGCCACGACGGCAAATACGAAGGCGGCGACGGTGACGACGACGGACGGCGACGACGACGACGACCACGACGACGATCAAGACCCCTCGGCATATCTCTCAACACCCCTCCCTCAATGTCACCCTCCCTAGATCTGCCACCATGCCGCTGGGCACGGAGTGGGCGTGCCCTCGGGTCCTCTGCCTGATCCCATGAGCCTCATTCCTCAAGCTGGGTCGTCAAAGGCCAGATTGTCGGATTGGATTGGGCCCCACGGGCCAATCTGGCCTGGCCAAACTGGATGATTTGGGTTTTTCGCCAGACTGGATTCGCGTTGGCGCCCCCGCCAGAGTGCCCCCGTGGGCCAGATTGGGCCTGCCAGATTGGCGCCAGATTGGCTTCGACTACCCAGTCAAGGGCCCAGACTCCAAATTCCCAAATCCCCTGGGACGCGGCGCGGTGCCCCCTGGGCTCCGAGACGCCGTTGCCGCGTGACTCCTTCGGGCCCGAGAGGGCGCCACGGCGGGCCCAGAGGGCCGCAGGAGGCCCTCGAGGCGGCCCAAGATCAGAGCCCCGAATCATCAGGGGTAAATCGGGTCAGGGCTAACTCGGGTTCGTTTTTCGGGATTCCGAACCAGAGTTATCCCGGACCCGAGTTACCCTGGATATTTCGGGCGTCCAGAGCCCCGAATCATCAGGGGTAACTCGGGTCAGGGCTAACTCGGGTTCGTTTTTCGGGAACTCAAACCCGAGTTACCCCGGACCCGAGTTACCCCGGATAATTCTTGCGTCCAACAAGAGGGCCCCGAATCGCGGAAAGGTCGCCCTGATGCGCACAAGATGGCCTCATCATGGCCCAAGGACAGGGGCCCGACGCGGCTTCGGGCTCGGCTCCGTTTCGGTTCGGATTCCGGCCCGTTTCGGCCTCGGCCCGTCACGGCTTCGGCGCGTTTCGGCTTCAGCCCGCTGAGGCCTCCAAGAGGCTTCCGAGAATACATGGTGTTCGCCTCTCGGGCTCCGGGGATGGCGTTTCTCTTGTGCTCGTGGGAGGAGGAGGAGGAGGAGGAGGAGGAGGAGGAGGAGGAGGAGGAGGAGGAGGAGGAGGAGGAGGGGGGGAGGAGGAGGAGAGGAGAGGAGGAGGAGGAGGAGGAGGAGGAGTGAAGATGATGATGATGATGATGATGATGATGATGATGATGATGATGATGATGATGATGGTGATGATGATGATGATGATGATGATGATGATGATGATGATGATGATGATGATGATGATGATGATGATGATGAGGAGGAGGAGGAGGAGGAGGAGGAGGAGGAGGAGGAGGAGCAGGAGGAGGGCTCGTGTGGCCGACCTGTCTGGGGCTCGCGTGCGCGCGTTCCAGGGTCTGTGTCTGGCGCTTCACCTTCACGGGGTGGTGCAGTGGAGACCCATGTCAAGAAGCACCCTGCTTGCCTCCAGAGTGCCCTGGGTTTCTTGGGTTTCGATGGTTTTGCTGTGGAAAGCGTGACGTCCCCACACCAAAACCAACGGACGCCCTTGGGTCTCAGGGTTGGGTTTCTTGTGGAAGGTTTCTTGTGGACTGACCGCCACCGTATGTCGGACGCTAGCTTGAACCATCACCGGCTCTTTTGACCCATCTTGGAGGCCCTCTTGGAGCATCGGAGGCCCTCTTGGATCCATCTTGGGCCAATCTTGGGTTTCTTGTGGAAGGTGTTTCTTGTGGACTGGCTTCCGCTGCAGCTTGACCCCTCGAAGCGGCACGCAATTGCAAGGGTTGGCGGGGTCGGTTCGGCGCCTCTGGGATGCGCGGTCCCCGTTCGGCCCCGTGTGGCATCTTGCTTGGGGGGCGTCGGGTAAGTCTGCAGAGCTTCTTGGGCGCCCTGATGACTCTCATCCTGACTTCGACGGGGAGGAGGAGGAGGAGGAGGAGTGGGGTGTCTTTATCCTCTCGCTTGGGCGGTTCAGCATGCAAAAAAAAAGTTAGGGCGTGCGTTTCATCTACATTATGAGTTCTTTATTGTGGTTTTGGACAGAAGGTGAAGGAAACTAATATATGTTAGGTTCGCTGGGGGGGGGACGATGAGAAGCGAGCGGAAATTGAGAAGGGAGGAGGAGGACGGAGGGGGGAGGTGGAGGATATTGGTTGCACCCAGCGGCTAAGTTCACGTGACCCCGAGGGCTCTGGTCGTGAACGCGCACCGAAAACAAAAGCCCTTGGCACCGAACAGTATGGATTTCGAAGCCTCGGGGCCCTAACTTTGACGTCGAACAGCCTTGTGATTTTCTTGCGAACGCTCCAAATCGGCTCTCTCTCGGCACGTGTCGGGCTGGAGGGCGGTGCATTTGGTTGCACCACCCCGCGGCAATGCACTCGTGCATTGCCTCGCTCAAGTCGAGGGCGCACCAAGGCCTACAACCCACATGCCTGGTGCCCGAGTGCCCTGGACGAGCGAAAGATACATTCTTAAAGAGAACCAATCAACGAAACAAAATGCCAAAACGAAGTGATGGTGTACAGTGCGCTCTGTGCGCTGGCGATTGCTATGACGAAACTTCACATCGTTGAGCTATTCTTGCGTCTGTATTCCCCCTATCCTCCTCCCACGTTCCCCTGTTCTCCTCTCTCTCATCCTTCTCCTTCCTCCCTCCCTCAAAGCAGCGTCAAAGCTCAAGACATGCCAAACATCCGCGCCGAGGCAGTCCTGCCCGAGACAACCTCGCCTGGGGAGTTGGCCTCCGTCTACTCGAAGGCTTTGCGACGAAGAGTATCGCCTGCTTTGAGGGGACGGTTGGATTTCAAGAAAGGCCTCTCGAAAGTGAAAACCTTAGCAGTCGAGTCGACCTCGACATCAAATTGCACGGTCTCGAATTCGACAGAGTGCGTGTGAGAAAGCTTCTTGCGATTGCCAGCCTTCTTCGGCTGTGGTTTTGCTGGGGGTGCTGCCTGCTGCGCCTGCTGCGCCTTGGCAGCGGAGGCGCCCTTGCGCTTCTTGCTGGGCGGCTGGGCACCGCTGCTGCTGCCAGCTGCGCATGCACCAGCCTCAGGGTTGGCCGCGCTGTCCACCAAGGGGGCAGCATCGGCGTTGGTCTCACCGTCCACGTCGTCCTTGATCATCGGGAGCATCCATGCGATGCATGCGTCTGAAACCAAAGGGTTGAGGAGCTTCGAGCCATCCAGGAACAAACTCAAACCGTTGCTTGTCCCCAGTGGAAGCAGAGTGCCACGCGGAAGGCTCCTCGCAGCGATCGCATCTACCACCCTGCCCCAACAAACGAACTCGGGAGCCTCCGTGGTCGTTGCGTCTGCCGCCAGACGAGCTGTCAAGGTCCCCGCGCTCTTCTTCCTGGAAAAGTCAATCAGCACGTCGCGGAGAAAGCGGCCTTGCAGTCCGCCAGCGGGTGGCATGAAATGGCCCCGCACAGAGGCGATCACCCGCGCCTTCGTCGCGCTGGTCATGGCAAGGTGGTCGGGCCCGTTGGATTTCAGCTCCTCTCGAATTTGGGAGGAAAGGCGGGGAGAAGAAGTGAGGGCGAGAAGGAAGCTGGTGTCATTAATATTGTATGTTAGTTTCGGGCGGTCCTCATCGGTGAGCATGCTGATCCACTGCGTGACCCCCAGGCTGGTCAGGTTGAAGTCGCCCTGGGGAATGCCCTTGCCGTCGTCGACGGCGATGGGGACTGGTTCCTTGGCAGTCTTGGTTGGAGTAGTCGTCTGCCCCGCAGTCGGTGCCACGACCGCCGCTGTTGCCGCCGCAGTTGTAGCGGTGGCGCTTGCCTTGGCCAGCTGGTCGCGCAGGATCGCCACCTTGTCGCCAACGTTGCCGACGAGGATCGTGGCTGCCAAGGTCGTGTCGGTGCACTTCTTTTGAACCGCAGTCATGATATCCTCTACCAGCGCAGCTTTCACAGACGAGAAGATTCCCATGGATGGCGGCACCTCGATATTCTGCAAGCCCTGCGACACGACGAACTCCTTCATCTGCGTATGAGTGAAGCCCTGCAGCTTCCCCCTCAGGCCCGCGACGAGCGTGTGATGCGCCTTCGCCTTGGTCGGGCAAACCTCGTTCACCGTCACCACCAGTTCAGCAAACGCCTCCAGATATATGCCACATCTTCCACGTCAGCTGGCCTCCTCAGGAGGGGGCTGGCTAACGTGGTTGTGGTGACATATATATGGCACTGGCAGCCTTGCTGAAACAGTCGCCGAAGACAGCCATGGACACGTCGCCGTCGATGGCCTTGGTGATGATCTTGATATCGATGGGCTCCTGCGCTCCGCGCCGCTGGCTCTCGATGGACTCCGCGATCTTCTTGAAGACGTCCTGCGCAGACAGCAAGCCAAACATGTATTTCGGAGTGCCGTTGAGGGGGACCTGCATCGTAGATAACGTGCTGCACACTGCGAAGAACGTGTTCAGCCTGACCATGTTCAGCTTCTTGCGGCCGGTGGCCCCGATCACGCCCATCTCTTCGCACGTCTTCCTCAGAAGCTCCGTGTCGGCATAGTCGCTCCTGGTTGAAACAGCTGTCAAAGCAAATTTGAATTCCGACAATTGTCCAAAGTTTATCACTATCTCGTCGAACGCCAACGGCATCTCATCCATGACGGCAGTGACCACGCGCTTCGTGGCCTCTTCGATCAGCTCACGTTGGCTATCTGGAGTTCCAGACTTGCCCTCTGCACCACCGCATGCTCCAATCATAGACGTGTGGACCTTGCTCGTAATCCCGCAGACTGCCATGTGCAACTGGATCGGCTTGTCGATCGGGTTCACCATCAGGTGGGACTTCATGCGGGCCGCCGAACCGTTGTCCTGCAAGGTCTTGAAGGTGTCCAAGAGCGTCTCGTCAGTCTTCTCCTCCAGAGGCGCCTTGCTGGGCGACTCTGCAAGCTGGCTGTCGTCCCCTGCGTCGGCGTAGTAGATCTCAAGGTCGCTGGGCTTCTTTGCCATGCCAGATGCTTTGAATGCAGCGTTGATGATGTGGCGCTTCATCGCGGTGTATCTGCTGATCGTCCTCGCTGGGGTGTTGCCATTCCCTGGAACTTGTACCTCTCCCTGCAGCTGGCAGAAGCACAGGATCGACGAGTATGCGTTCAGGTTGTCCTGGGGGACGTTCAGCTTGTGCTTGAGCATCGCGGTGAACTGGATCACGTCACTCAGGAAAGACACGTCGTTGCCCCCATCCGATGCGCACGCGCACCCCGCAGAGACCTTCGCCTTCATAGTCGCGCTGTCGGCCATGCTCGCCAGTAAGTTCCTCACCATGGCCTCTGACAGCTTTCGCAACTTGCCCTGCGGAATGCCATCTGGCAGCGCTGGGCACGCCCCGAGGGGTTCAGACTCGAGGTGCGGGATCACGAGGGCAATGACAGGAACGACGAAGTCGGGATAAGTAGAGCACAGCACCTTGCAAATGCAACTGATGTTCTGGATGACCGCGTTCGTGTCCTTCATGTACTCATGCATGTAGTCAGCCTTTGTCTTGAAATAAGATACCATCTGATCCCAAACTGAAATGCCTGCTGATGTCATCGTTGTCTGCAAAAGGTTGTAGGTGTTGATCGTCACGTCGAGCGCGTTCTGTGAGCGCCAGCGGCCAGAGAATACAGCGTTGGCATAGGCATGCCTGCGAGCGTAGAGCGTAAGCGCCCCGCCACAACCGTCACCAGTAGCAGTTACCTTTTCCTTCTGGATTGCCCATCCAGAAAGAATCGCCTCGGTAGACATGAACACCTGGAGCACCGTAACCACCAAAGTGCTGGCGTTGGTGGCGTTGCCTAGCTCGATGACGTAGTCTTTCACATCGTCTGGTAAGTTCGGGTCGAACTCCACAGCAGAGTCACAACCAGCCTCGAGAGCGATCCAAACCGTCCTGTTTTTCTTGTGGGGATCTTTCTCCATCGCCATCTTGGCACCTTCAAGCAAGCTCGCCCAGTGTAGAACAGTCCATTGATTCTCGCCTGCTGGAATTACCCATGGCCCCTTACGGACCTTGCATATGCCAATCGTCTCAACTGACTTGCACCTGTCCAAGACTGTCGCCATATTGTACCTATGTTTCTGTTTCTGAAGAAGAAAACGAACGCTTAAGGACGCAGTAATCATTAACCGTGTGCGTGTGTCCTTAAGCGTCCGTTTTCTTCGGGGCACCTCCTGTTGGCAGGGTCCCTGGTCATGGTGAACTTGCCCTCGTGCACGAGGGGCAGCCATCGGGGTTGACGCGCGTGCAGCCTGAACACTAGATTCTCGAGCTCGGGACCCGCCACGTAGCCGACGAACCTGTCGTATATCGTCGGAAACCTCGCACGATCGTTCAGGAACAACGTGGACGGGTCTGCAATCTTGGGCTCGGGCTCCTTGGGCACGAGCGCCATGTCGCCATGGGGGCTGGCAGCTGCCATCGCTGGGAGTAGCCTGGCGGAAGCAAGCGTTCGCAGGACAAAAGAAGGACTGGATATGAGAGAGAACGTGGGCGACGATGGCAGGGGAGGAGAGGAGGAGAAAGAAAGGAGCAGAGGACTTGGCAAAGGCAGGGGAATGGAGGGGTGAGGGTGGGAGGATAGGATAAGCGGACAAGAAACGGCTGACAGGGAACGTCGTGGGAAGGCCACCACAGGCCCGTCATCTCAGGGGTTCCAGGGCCAGCGCTCGGAGGACGAGGGCCAAGGTCGAGCAGGGCCGCGAAACTGCCTCCAAGGGTCTCGCCACAAGGGGGGGGGTGAAAAAATAATGGCGCGGAGAGACGGGCAAACATTTGCACTGAGAGCTCACCCCCTGCCGCGAACCACCGGCCTTTGGCTGCCGGCCCCCTGGCCCCTACGGCTTCGGCACCGCGGAGGCCCCGAGAGGCGGTGCGGACGAGGGGGGTGGGGCGGGGTGGGGGGGCGGGGGGGGGGGGCGGGGGGAATTTTTCGGAGCGCCTCCCCCCAATCCTCCTCCCCCCTTCCCCCTCCCCCCCCTCCCCACCCCCCCCGCACCCCCTCCCCCCCGCCACCCCCCCGCCCCCTCCCTCCCCGCCGCCCGCCCGCCCCCCCCCCCCCCTCCCGCCCCCCGCGCTCCCCCCCCCCCTGGCGCTTCGAATTTTTCGGCCCGCCCCCCCCCGCCCCCCCCCTGGCCGCTTCGAATTTTCGGCCCCCCCCTCCCCCCCCCCCCCTCCTCTGGGCCCCCCCCCCCTCCCCCCTCTGGGCCCCCCCTCCCTCCCCCCACCCGTCCCCCGTTGTTCTGGCGCTCCGAATCCCCCTCTCCCCCCCCCCCAGGACCCCCATCCCCCCAGGATCGCGAGGTCGTCGAACCCCTCCGAACGGCCGCCCCGCAGCTTTCAGGGAGGGGTCGGCAGCGCTGCGCGGCGCCGCAGGGGGTCGGTCTAGAGCGGACCTAAGACTCACGAGACCTTAAAGCATCAAAGGTAGACATCAGAATAATCCAACGCGAATCGAAGCGGATATTAGAAAAATTCTGAGCGACCCGATGCGGAGTTTAGAAACATTCTAAGGTCACTTGGCTGTAATAGGAAACAATATATAAAGATCAAGTACCTTAGAACAATTCTAACATCCACCTCAAGCACCTTAGAACAATTCCAACATCCACCTCAAGACGCTTAGAATTTTCCCAATATCCTCCTCTGTGAGCTTGGTATTTTCAAGGGTCAGACTGCCGTTGCCTATCTGATCTTACAGCGTTTGGGAGGCCCCCGCGACATGGAATTCACTGCTCGGGATGCCGTGCGCTCCCTCCCTCACTCCCTTCCCCTCCATCCACCCCGACCTTCTCCTCCTCGACTCCTCCTCTCATATCCCTCAACGAGCGCTCTTGGGCGCAGCGCTTCCTCGTTCCATCGGCATCTTTTCCTCCCTCCCCGCCCCCCCTGTCCTCCTCCCGTCCTCCTCCCACGCTCCTCCCTCGCAGTCGCCACGTCGAGGCTTTCTTACACCTGCGGCAGCGCCAACATATCCCCTGCGGTGCGCACCAATGGTTCAACCCTGACCCAACAGGGCAATGCATTCACTCGTTCAGACAAATGGGGCAAACGAAAAGGCCCTCCTCTTCGAATGGGGACCCCATCCCAAAAGCACGTGCCACGTTCTCTGCGCACGCGCTGTGCCAGTACACAACGCACTCGGAACATATGCACGAATCAAAGTGCTCTACGGGCTGCGCACCACCGCCGCCGACGACCCTGACATCCATGCCCATGGTGTCTGCGCGCGCACAAAAAACGCAGGGGGCGTCGCAACTGAAGAGACGGTCGCGAGCAATCGGACCAGAAAACAGTTCGGCCGCGAAGGCCTTCATAATTAGCAAGCACCAATCAGGCACACGCTCACGCAAGTCCTTGGGCCGCGTGATCCTGACAGGCACGTTCCCGATGATGATGTTGCAGTGGTCCCTGTCGCACTCCCTCTTGAGATGCTCAGTCGCAAACGGCACGTTATACTTGAACCACAGGTGCTGGAGGTCCACCCTTGCTATTTTTGCAGACCTGCCAACACCCTCCCAAGCAACAAAGACAACATCGTAATGAACTTGACCATCTTCTGCAACTGTTCGCAATTCAACCAGCGATACCAAGCCCCGCTCTGGAGCATCTGAAATGTCAGTCCTGAAGCCGTAGTCCTCAGCGAAGTGCATCGCGTCCCGAGCAGATGTGCGGCTTGCCTCGCATGCGCCCCTCACGTTGCGGAGAAGCTCAGCTCGGTGGTCGCCAGAGATGGCGTCAAAGACGTCGCTTTTATCAGGCCCTGCATGGTTATGTTGGTCAGGCTGTCGATCTCCAGCGTCGTCCTCAACGTCCGTATCCTTGCCGTCGCTGTCGAGGCCCTCGCTGGCGCCCTCGAGGTCCTCGCGCTCCTCCTCCACGGCGTCCTGGGCAATCAATCGTTCAAGCTCCTCAGAGAAGCCGTCGTCGTCCTCAAGCATGTCAGGCAAACCGCCCTCGGCGTCGACTGCGTGTGTATTCTTTTTCTTGGGGCCATTGTAGGCCCGCTTGAACAGCGGCGTCACGTGGGCAGCGTCAGCGATCACCGAGGCGGCCTTCAACGACGTCCACGACAACATGTACTGGACCAGATGCAAGCGAGGACGCTGCTTCCGCCCAGCTGGAAGAGGGTGGAATGCATGTAGGGCCTCACCAACCAGAGCACACGCGGTACGTTTGACAATTGGAACGTGCAAGTGAAAATGGCATAGCTCGTCCACGTGGCCAGTTGCGCAATGCATCGTCTTGTAGTGCGAAGTCCCCGCCAAGAATACGACGCTGCGATCTAAAGCAAGTGCGCGTGTATCAGGTGCGTCTGGGCCGACAATCACATACGCATACCTGGCTCCCAAGTCAGTCACATCAAATATGCTATAAGATATCGGAAGTGCTTCTCTGGCATTGTCGGGCAGGTCACCGACGAAGTGCGTGGCGGACGTATTGCTCGATCCAATAAGAGGGACAGCATCAGGATGAGGCCCTGCGCTGGCATCGCGCTCCTTGTCTGTGAGGGGGCTGAAGCGAAACATGTTCGCATCTGTCTTTGAGAACTCGACGCCCTTCTTGCGCACTGCGACGGCCTCGCCGGTGGGAGTCCGTTCGCCAACTCTGTTCTTGAGGCGATCCGATGCCAGTCTCACCTTAGTGCGTGGAGCCCGTTCGCACATATTCTTCAAGGCACTGTTCCAGCCCTCGATCTCCTGCGTCTCGCCATTGAATAACGCACGCCAGCCTGAAAGAAATATCCATACCATCCTCGTGCACTTACCAGTGCCCTGCATGATGACGAAATCTTCATATAACATGGCACGTAACTTGAAGCTGAAGGAGTTGTACACGCCATCCTGCCACTCTAAGTTCTCCTTGGACGCAGTCATCAACCGATGGGCTAAGGCTTTGCGAGGAGCCGAGGCCTCCTCAGGGTCCGCCTCCAAGACGTTGAGAAAGTCGAGTGGGAACCTCTGCGTGGGGTCGTACATCCGTCGCTCCCAATCAAGAGCGCCACGCGCCACCAAGGTCACGATCAAGCACAATGCCTTCGAGGAGGTCCGAACGCCAAACGAAATCAGACCACCGAAAACGAACCGAAAACTCAAAACCAACTGGTGTATTTTCATTGTTGTGAAGTTTCTTTTGGCGTTGCGAACCTCCTCGACATGTTCTGGTACATCGTCAGCTCGAATCAGACTCCAGGCGCCGACCCAGTGCGTCAGCATGGCGTCGTCGCCCAGGAGGGCGTTGAACTCGTCTAAGGTAACCTTGGCCTTGCCCGACACGAACTTAGAAACGAAGGTTGGACCCGTGTAGGCGGTCCCTTGCTTTGATGCTTCCGATCGGTGTTCTCGCTCAATCTTGCTCTCCTGCTGCGCCCAACGCTGGAAATGAGCAAGGGGCCCCTTCGCGACGAGGTCGATCTCAGCTGTCCCCAAAAACAACTTGTCATTCAACAAGGCAACCGTGGTCTGGCGGTAGTTTCGGCGTTTCTCGTACCACCCAGCGTCCTCACCGTCCAGCTTTTTTTGTTTTCTTTTTTGTCTTGTCTGCGTCTGTGTCGTCGAACTTCGGCCACGTGCGTCTGACAGCGGGTCCAAGTACATGCCGACCATTCCTCAAGTACATCTCGATGTCGTCAACGGAGCCCCACCGCGTCGCGATAACCCGATGAATGGTGTTGCCAACAGATTATTTGACAACCTTGGGTGGGAACTTGAGCTCGGTAGCTGCTTCTCTGACTTTCCGCGGGACGCCTGTGCCTCTCAGAGTGTTCGCGATAACCTTCAAACAAGCAAGAAACGAAGAAGATCCCCAGGGCGTATGCCATTCCCAATTGTTCGTGATATCAACCATGCTCTGCTGGATCAGCGCGTTCTGATGGAAGCGGCAAAAATAACTAGATATCATCACCCAACGGACGTTAGAAACAGCTGCGACTGCAGCTCGAACGAGGCCTACACAGTCAGGTCCGCTATCTAAGCAAACATGATAACTCCGAAAGCTAGCTCCATCTCGGCATGCGGCCTCCATCCACGTCGGAAGCCCCGCATTGCGAAACTGTCGCGTCACCAAGTCTGTGGTTTCTTTTGCACCGCCCGTCCGAACTGTCTGCAAGTCCAGCACTTCCCGAAAGAATGTCAGCTTGAGGTCGTCACTGTCGAAGTTGGTGTCGCTGCTGATGTCGCTCAACGCCCCTGGGCATCTTGCAGTGTAACTGGCTTCACCTGTCCACACTTTTGCCTTGTCGACTGCCTCTTGGTTCGTGGCGTCGCCCCTGAACATGAAGAATTCGAAGCTGAACAACTTGCTCCCAATCAACGCCACCATATCCCCACTGTCCAGAGAAGCCGCCCTCGCGTAGTTGATGCATATCTCATTCGATGTCGCGTGCAAGTGATTGACCGAGTCATAGAATGATTTGACGACCACGGTCCTGGCAATGGACAGGGTATGCTCGAAGCGGATGACCATGTTCTTGGCGCCGTCTGTGAAGGACCCCTGCCACTCCTCGCCAGCACACATGGCCACGACAGATCGTGCGCTGCTGCAGCCGTGAGACCTCTTGTACGCCAAATGGTAGCCGCCCCATATGCTGACGCAGCGCTTGCCTGGTCTGAAGTTCGTTTTCTGCACAAGTGAACGGTGGGTGTCGTGTAGGATCCGAGATTTTTTTGTGTGTAGCCCCAAGCGCTGCTCCGTCGTCGCCAGCCGTCGTTTCACCTGCTTGAGTTCGGACTGCAAACATGTTAGTTCGTTGTCTCGCTCCACCATCTGCACTGCTAAATCGTACTTGGGCATCTCGTAGTAGACAGAGACGCTCGGGCGCTGGACCACGTCGAAGCTGCCTTGGATCTCCGCTGCGAGCGCCAGCGCATCCTTGACCTCGTTACCGTCGGGCGCCTGGATAACTGGGACGTCAATCGATTCTGCCAGCTTCTCAAAAACTTCTACCAGCGTGGCCTCTGACACAACAGCGGCGCCCAGGAACGAGTTGACCAACAAGTGAAAGCCTTCGAACCTGATGCCGTGATTATCCGCACGCATGCCGAGGCTGGATATAGTGTCCTTTATCGTTTTGGGTTGCACGTCCAGACGCAAGGCACCCAACATATCTCTGATGGCTCGAGCGCTGAGAGCGCCTGTCGAAACAATCGTTCTGGTGACATGCTTCCTGGTACTCAGGTGCTGAAAAATCTGAGTGGCGATCGAACTCTCAGTCCGAAGCATTGTCGTGCCGAAGCAAACTTTGAGCCCAAATGGCTACGCGGACGACCCTTGGACCCTGGGACCCTTGCTGTTAAGCATTCCCTTATCGTCCCATCTTGGCGTTTTGGAAGCGTTGGGTAAGGATACCTTCGGGAATCCAGGGTCTCGCGACCGATCTGCAGCCTGAAAAAAAACTCATCCCCCTCCGCTCCCGTCTTCTCCTCCACCTCCCCACACTGTACCCCGAGACGCTATGGCCAGAGGCCCCAAAACTCAGGAACGGCGCTCTCGCCCGAGGCACCCTCACAATTCTTTCAAGCTGGCGACGTGCCCGTGCGCGCGTTAGCTCGCATGACGGCCACGGCGGCACGGTGCGCATTGGCTCTTGGGCCTTGGGGAGGGGACGCACGAGAACACGAGAACGATAAAGGAAAAGAGGGCGCCTTCAAGGCTTCCTCTTTTCCTTTATCGTTCTCGTACGTCGTCGTCATCATCGCCGTTCTCATCGTCGCCGTCGTCGCCGTCGTCATCGACGCCGCCGCCCCAGCCAGACAGGCGCCCCGCCTCGGGAGGGGGCCCGTGGCGGACGCGCGCGGCCGGCGCAAAGCGCTGCGGCCCGCGAAGGAGGAGGAGGAGGAGGAGGATGTCAATGCGCAGCACACTTGCACATCCTGCAACATTCCTCACACTGCTCTGCCGCCTACCCTACATCATCTGTCACTCTCCTTCGTCCCCCTCCTATTCCTCCTCCTCCCTCCTCCTCCCTCCTACTCCTCCTCCCTCCTCCTCCCTCCTTCTCCTCCTCTTCCTCCCTCCTCCTCGTTCTTTTCCTCGTCCTCCACCTCCTCCACCGCCTCATCCTCCTCCACCGCCTCCTCCACCACCTCTAACTGGCCGAAACATATGAGAACACATATAAAAAGGAACCTATTAATACGAAAGACGACGACCAGACTTTTTTTTTGAAGCTGGAACCTACGAAACCTCTCGATGAAGACACCCCAGAGGAGGAGGAGGGGTGGCGGGGGGGAGGCTGCGTTCCACGAGTTCTCTAGCCACCAGGAACCAGGAGCCAGGGGTATGGGGGAGGAGGAGGAGCGGGAAGTGAGGAAGATTACGGCGATTTCTTCGAGCGGTCGACGGCCAGCCACAGGCGGACACCGTCGAGAAGATCCTGACGCTGTCTGGCATGCCGGACATGCGGACGCTGCGGGGGTCGCAGTTCAACCTGGTTGGGGTCACTGGCTGTGGATCCAGCAACGTATTTCCCTTCTCCTCCCCCTCCGCCTCCTCTTCCCCCTCCTCGGCCTCCTCTTCCTATCCCTGGCGCCCACGGCCCGCAACACAGAGCCACCGCGTGTCATACGATTCCCGTGACCTCCATGGTGGTTTAGCCACCCTCGGCCGCAGGCAAGACAGTCGGCCCGGATTAGTAGGTCGACCCTGCCAGATCAAGGGTGCCCTCGCGTCCTGTGTTTCGCGACCCGCGCCTCCTACATTCCTGTGGCAATGTGGCCCTCGGAAGGGTCTGATGCCCTCTCGCGTGTCCTCTCCAATCAAGCCCGACTGTACTCAGAACCATGCTCTTGTCTGCCATGCTTCTCTCCCCCGTCCTCCACGTCCTTCCCTTTGCCGGAGGTGGACAGAACTCCCACCCTGACACGTCGATTAGCGAATTGGCCGCTTTCGGTTCGCGAGGGGGCGCCGCGGCCGTCGTTTCTGCGGGTCCAGGTCCGCCGGTTTCGGTCCCGGGCCGTTTTCCACTAAGGGGAGGTTTGCTAAAGGGAGGTTTGTCCACCGCCCCTGGCATCGCCCGAACGTGTGCACTCGTTCTCCGGCGAGGGCCATCGAGGAGCACCCTTGATCACTTGGCGAAACAGCCACGCGCGACACCGAAGAAGCCACCGGGAGTGGACGCCCGAGCGATGCCCTGGAGCAGCGGGTGCTCCCAGGGGCGCGACCTGCCAGAGCCCCTGCCGGGCAGGACGGCCCACAGGTGCGCGCGCCGCCCCCGGACGCGCCGCCGTCGGCCCCCCGCCGCAGTGCCAGCGGGGCCCTGCCGGCAGGAGCGATGGCCCGCGCCGCCTCTGCCCTCGCGGGGCCAGGCACCGCCTCCTCCTCCTCCTCCTCCTCCTCCTCCTCCTCCTCCTCATCCTCCTCCTCCTCCTCCTCCATCTCCTCCTCCCCTCCTCCTTCTCCCCGGCCCCTCCTCCTCCTCCTTCTCCTCCTCCCTCCTCCTCCCTCCTCCTCCTCCTCCTCCTCCTCCTCCTCCTCCTCTCTCCTCCTCCCTCCTCCTCCTCCCTCCTCCTCCTCCTCTCCTCCTCCTCGCTCCTTGTCCCGCCTCCTCGCCCTCCTCCTTCTAGTGTACTTTCACCCTGAACCTCCCCCTCCCTCCGCCTCCCTCCTCCCTCCTCCTGATTCCTTCCTCTCCCCCGGTCCTTCCTCCCGCCCTCCCCTCCTACTCATTGCTCTTCCTCTCCATCCCCTCGTTATTTCACCCACACCGTCCCGCGATCATTCCCCTAGGAGTCCACCCGCACCCTCCCCCCACTATTCCACACCCCGCCCTACCCCTTTTTCTCCCTCCTTCCCGTTCCGCTCGGCTCCTCCTCCCGTACACCTTCAGCCTCCTGCGAGAGGAGGCTGGCATGCGCAAGCGCCGGGTGGCCATGCCCACAAGACGGCTTCCCGAACGCAGCGTCCCGCTGTGTTTTGTTTGCTGCTCTGCATGTGGGCCCTCTCTCCCAGAGAGAGAGAGAGTGGTTCAGTGGCTAGCGGGGACAGATGTCCGTGCCTCACATGCCTTGCGGAAGAAGGCCTCGGTGTTTTTTGGTGGAGAGCGTGGCTCGTGGGCAGGTGCCCGCCCATGTCGCCTACGGGAGCCTTGCCCAGTTGCTGCTTCCCACGCCACCGCTAGATATTAGCTCGATGCCCAGCAGCGGCTTTGTAGCCCCGAAGACAGTCTCCAGCGGGTCCGCTGCTGAACCCTTCTCTCCCCCCAGTCCCCAGTCCAACCCCCGCATTTGTTGCATCCGGAGATTGGGATGCAGCTGCGAACTGATTCCGCATCTCATCCTACCTCTTCCTCCTCCCACCGCAGTATTATCTCTCCTCTCTTCCTCCTCCCACCGCAGTATTATCTCTCCTCTTTCCCCTCCTCCACCCTCCCTTCCCTCCCTCCCTCCCTCCCTCCCTCCCTCCCTTCCTCCCTCCCTTCTCCTCCTGCGCCTCCTCCTCCTTCCTCCTCCTCCTCCTCCTCCTCCTCCGCACTCCTCCTCCTCCCTCCTCCCCTCCTCCCCCCCTCCCCCCTCCTCTTCTCCCTCCTCTCTCCTCCTCCTCCTCTCCTCCTCCTCCTCCTCCTCTTACACCTGAAGACACCTCCTCCTCCTCCTCCCTCCTCCTCCTACTCCTCCTCCTCCCTCCTCCTCCTCCTCCACCCCTCCCCCTCCTCTCTCCTCCTCCTCCCTCCCTCCTCCTTCCCTCTTCCTCCTTCTCCTCCTCCCCTCCTCCTCCTCCTCCTCCTCCTCCTCCTCCTCCTCCTCCTCCTCCCCCTTCCTCCTCCCTCCTCCCCCTCCGCTCCCCCTATGCTTCCGCCCATCATCAGTCACCAACACTCACCATTGCCTCGCCGCTCCTCCCTCGCTACCCCCTCCTCCCTCCCCCCTTCCCAGCCTTGCTCCCCCTCCTCCCCCCATCCCCTCCTCCCCCTCCGCCTCCTCCCTCCTCCCCATCCCCCTTCTCCCGTCTACTCCCCCATCCTCTCCTCCCCCCTCCCTCCTCCTCCTCCTCCCCCTCCTCCCTCCCCCTGGCCCCCCCCCCTCCTCCTCCCTCCTCATGGTACCCGCCTGGGTAGACAGGTCAAGTGGGTGGACGCCACGTACACCCTCGAGATCCGCGGCTCCGAGGCGGACGTGGCCAAGGCTGAAGAGTTCGTGCTCGCCGCCGAGGCGACACTGCGGCTCCAGACGCCCGCCCCTCCGATAGCGCAGGAGGCCGATGACGACGGCGACGACGAGCGCGACGACGAGGGCGACGACGCGAGACGACGAGGTTGGCGGGAAGGACGACGATGGCTGCGACCAGCCTTGGCTGGGGAGGGGTGCCCTCCTGCTCCCCCCCCCCCCCTCGGAGCGCGGGGCGGGTGCGGGCGGCGGCCGAATGAGAAAGGAGCACGCGCCACGCAGACGGGCGTCTGCGGAGGTCCGCGCAGATTCCTGGAGTCGCGCGCGCGCCCCCCCTTCCTCCCGTCCTCCCTCCTCCTGACCTCCCTCCTCCCTCCTCCCTCCTCCTCCTCCTCCTCCTCCTTCCTCACTCCTCCTCCTCCTCCTCCTCCTCCTCCTCCCCTCCCCTCCTTCCTCCTCCTCCTCCCCTCCCCCTACCTCCTCCTCCCTCCTCCCCTCCCTCCGACCCTCCCTCCTCCTCTCCTCCCTCCTCCCTCCTCCCTCCCTCCCTCCTCCCTCCTCCCTCCTCTCCCTCCTGCCCCCCGCCCCCCTGGAGGCGTCGCCGGAGCGCGCCAGGGGGCGGGGGGGTCCAGCGCCGACCAAAGAGATCCGCGCGGACCTCGTGAGCGCGATGCTTTGTGTTCCGTTGTCGGTTCCCTGACGGTCGGTTCGACTCATAGGCCGGCCCTGCTACATCAGGGGACCTCTGCGTGATGTGTGTTTAGCAGCCCGTGCCTTCTACATTCCTGTGGCGATGTGGTGGCCCTCGGAAGGGTCCTGTGTCCTCGCACGATTCCTCTGCAATCAAGCTCGACTCCAGCTCTGACCGCCCGGGATGGCCCGAGCGGTATGGCCCAGGGCAGCCCAAGCGGAGGGCCGTAGCCGGGCGGGGCTGTGACAAGGAGAAGTCCGTTCTGGAGCGCTCGGGCTCGTTCTCAGAGAGTTCTGGAACGCTCCGAGAAGGCCGCGGCGCCCGATACATCTGTCAGAGCCGCCCGATCGTAAAGTTTCTCGATCTAGTCCTCACCCACGCTGTAGGCCTCTAGATGGGGTCCGAGTAGATGGGGTCGCAGGATCGCGCCGCATCGCCGATGCATCGCCGATGCGGCACGGTGTGGGGCCCAATTTTCTCCTCGCCGACGTCGCCGATGCATCGCCGACGTCGCCAGAGCATGACGCATCGGCGATGCATCGCCGATGTATCAGCGATGCGGCGAGATCCTCCGATCCCATCTACTCGGACACCATCTAGGAGGCCTCTACAAGCTGCGCAGGTCCCCTTCGCACCTCCTTGGGAGCAAGGGCTGCAACGACGGTCCCCCGAGGCACTGGGCAACTGTGTGTTCTTCTCTGCATGCTGGCATGCATGTGATCCGCATGTTCCGTGTGTTTGCCAGTGCGCCGCCAGGGCGCGGCCTCGTTGGCTCGTTCGTTCGATGCTGTGCTCGCGCGTCGTCCTGGGGGGGGGACACGACATCTGCCACACGCAGCTGGCTTCGGCCTCGCCGAGGGGCCCATTCCTCGACACATGGAGAACCAGCTGCGTGAGCTGCTTCTCAAGCCCTCCCCTGGGAGCGTGCCGAGAGCGCCTGGGAGTTCCTGGGAGCGCCGGGGAGCGCCTGGGAGCGCTTGGGAGCACCTGGGAGAGGGAGCGCCTGGGAGCGTGCCAGGAGCGCCTGGGAGCGCCTGTGAGCGCTTGGTCCTCGTAGCGCCTTGGAGCGCGCGGAGAGCCTGGGAGCGCTTCGGAGCGTGCCGCGAGCGCTTGGGAGCGTGCCGCGAGCCTTTGCCATCCCCTCCCTTCGCCCGACCCAACTGGCCGCAGCTGGCTTCGGCCTCACCGAGGGGCCCATTCCTCGACACATGGGCGCCCCCTGGCGCCGGGAGGCGCCGGGAAAATCAGCTGCGTGAGCTGCTTCTCGAGTCCCCCCTTTGCCATCCCCTCCCTTCGCCCGACCCCGACTGGCCGCCTCGCGCCCCGGCCGCCTCGCCCACGGGCCGCCTCGCCCTCGGGGGCCACACCCCGCGGCACCTGCGGCCCTGGCCCTCCCGCCGCTTCCCGGAAAGCAGCTGGCACTCGGGGTCGGGCCCTCGTCTCGGCGGGAGGCTCTCGGCCTCCTCGGCCTCCTCCTCCGCCGCCTCCTCGGCCTCCTCCTCCTCCTCCTCCTCCTCCTCCTCCTCCTCCTCCTCCTCCTCCTCAGTGACCAGCTTGGCTCGGGCCAGCCTGGCTCGAACCCCAAGCCAGCACCATGGGAGCTCCCGCTCCGACCATCTCCTCCCGCCTCGCGCTCCGGCCCTGGCATGGATCGGGCGCCGCGGCGCCGCCGGCCCTGTCGCACTGCGGCCCCAGCGCCGAGCCCGGTGTGCACGTGCGGATGGGCGCGCGGCCATTCGGCTCCTGCGCGCCTTCGCGGAGGTCGAGCGGCACAGGGGCCAGGGCCGGACGAGCCTCGCCCATGCGCTCCGCCAAGCGTTGGCTGCTGAGACGGCTGGTGCAGCCGATGGAGCCCGTCCTGTACCTCCTCCAGGCCCGGCACCTGAGGGCGAGCAGGCCGGCGCGTCGCCGGCAGCAGCATCGACCTCGCAGTTGCCCGCAGCCTCAACAGGGCTCCCGCGGGAGAATGCTACCCTGGGGAGGTATGGCGAGGCGGTGCAAGCGAGCGGCGAGGTGGAGTTGGCAGCCCTTGGAGGTGCCCCTGACGCTGGCCACAGTTTTCCGAAGATTGTGGCGCTTGCGGCCGAACAACCTGGCGCACCACGTGCTGTAGGAGGGTGCGAAGGGCCAGGAGGAGTGGGTCCGCAGGATCCCCCATAGCCTAGCCCTGGCGTGTCGTCGGCCGACGGCGGCGCATGGGCTAGGCGGCGCGCGGCGCTGGCTGCAGATGGCGAGATTTTACGGGGCAGAGCCGCTGCTGCCGTGTCTGACCGTCGGCAAGGTGAGGCTGTCGCTTTCACGTCAGATGTCTTGGCAGAGTTGAACAGGGTTACAGAGCAGCGAGGGCAGGCCTTCCACGTCTGCTTCATTATTCCCTTAAGCGCCAAATGACGACTGCAAGAACCAGTAGCTATGTGTTTTGGTGGGTGGATTTTTTCGCTCTAACATTTTGTTCGGGCCGCTGCAAGAGTTGGGCTCTTCTCCGCTGCATCAAATGGTGCTTGGCTGTATTTTGGCTGAGCCTGACCCAGGGCAAGCAAGGCACATCGTATTGTTTGTTCTTGCTTGATGGGACTATAGTTTCGCTGTTTGTTTGGTGTCAGAGGCGCTCTTGGGGATTCAATTCATGTTGTTTTCGGGTTTCTCATCTCGCACCTGGGCATCGTCAGCAGGAGGGATATGAGCGTCGCGAGCAATATGGTGAACGGCTACTCGGTCCTGGTGCGGGGCTTCCTGGCGCCCGCGGGGACATCCCTGTCGCACGTGCTTTGTGGGGACCGACTCCTCCTCCTTCTCCTTCTCCTTCTCCTTCTCCTCCTCCTCCTCCTCCTCCTCCTCCTCCTTCCTCCTCTTCCTCCTGCTCCTCCTCCTACTTTTCCTCCTCCCTCGCTCCCTCCCTCCCTCCCTCCCTCCCTCCCTCCCTCCCCTCCCTCCTCCCCCTCCTCCCTCCTGTTCTTCGCGCCTGGGTTCCTCGCGAGGCCGTGGGCCGCTGGCGACGGGGCTCGCGCCCTCGGGCGGTGCTCTCGTGGCCCTGCACGGGCGGGCGCTCGAACAGGAGGGCCCAAGGGCGGGCGGCCCAGAGGCGTTCCTGTCGTTCGCAGGTAGACATTATCCCCGTCCTCCCTCTCCTGCTTCCTCCTGCCACTTGGCATGTCAGTTTCCGGAGTAGCGTTGTAGCGTCATCTTCCTTCCACGTGCACCTCATGAGGCTTGGCACGAGCGCAGAGGAAACATAATCAGGGGAGCGCGGTCGGTCAGCATGCCCCTCCCCTCCCGAGAAGGGAAGGGTCACGCCGCATGACCCTTCCCTTCCCAGCAAGGAGAGCGGACCGACACGAATGACCGCCCGGGAAAAAACAGAGGGAAGCGATTGGACATGGAGGGGGAGAGTGGCGTCGAGGAGGTAGTCCCAAATATGGGAGCTCCTGGAATGTGTGTCGATCTATTGGAGAGGCCTCACCGCCGGTGCCGCCGACCGTGAACGACGACCACGACCACGACGGCGACGACGCTCCAGGATTCCCCGGAGGGGTGGCATTCTGACCCGGGACCAACCCCCTTGGACTATTTTCCTGGGACCTTTCCCCCGGGAGTCCTTCTTGGACCCCCCCATCGGAGGGGTGGTATTCTTCAGACCTCGTGTCGATCTATGTGTGTCGCCGTGGGCCCCTTTACCTTTTTCCCTTTCCTCGCCATCCCTGCGCGCGCGCTCTGGCAGGAGGGAGGACCGTACAATAGTTGTTTTTTGTCCCAGTTCAGTCCCACGAGGCGACGTGGCCGCCGAAAGCTGACACATCAAGCTTGCAAAATCGAGCTATGAACATACAGTCGAAATGGATGACAAGGGTGGGTCACCTTCCCCAGTGTACCTTTGCATCCTTGCCTCTTCGGTCCATCTTGAACCGTTTTCGATGGCAAGCCCCGCTCGAAGAGCTTCGACATGGGTGTCCAAAGGGATTGTATCCTTCTCGCCCATCCTTATTCGCAGTTTTGGCTGTAGCTGTTTCGAGATGGTGAAGTGTTGTTCCGTTGTGTTCAGTTGTTCCGTTGAGTTTTGCTTCTTCCGTTTGGAGGGGATCTGCGGGGGCCTCCGTGGCCCTGTGGAGCGCTCGCGCCTTGTTGCTCTGGCCGCCCAGAGACGGCACAGGAGGAGGGGCTCAAGCGCTTCGACGTCCTCTGGTCTGATCCGCCCTTGCCGGTCACCACTGCAAGGCCCCCCACTTCGCGGTCCAGGGTCTCCGACCGCTTGCCTCCTGCTGTCCCACGCCGCCGCGCGGCCTCGCGCTCGTGCCCGTCCTCGGCACGCCCGCGGTGCACTCCACGCTCTGAGCGCTTCTCGTCCTGGCCCGCCCGCCCCCCCCGTTCTCCCCGCGCGCCTCCGTGCCCGAGCTGCTCACGGCGAGCCCCGCCCGCTGCCCGACCTGCGCCCGCACCTGCTCCCGCTCGCTTGCGCCGGCCGGCATGGGAGGTAAGTCGGACGCCGCTGTCCTCCTCGACCTGTGCCGAAGCCTCCAGGGAGGGCCTCCGAGGGAGGGCGGTTTCCAGGGGTCTCGAGGGGCCCCTTGGAGTTTTCAAGGGGGGGGGGGGGAAGGGCCCTCGCGGCAGCGGAAGAAGAACGGGGAGGGGGTGGGGGGCTTGGTGGCAGGGATCGTCTAAGAGGAGGAGATATTTGGGCTAGGAGGAGAGGCGAGGGGGAGGAGGAGGAGGAGGATGGGAAAAATGAAGAAGAGGAGGAGGAGGAGGAGGAGGAGGAGGAGCAAGATCAGCAGGAGACGAGCAGCAGGATGAGGAAGCGGAGGGAACAAGGACGTGCAGAACGAAAACGACGAGAAGGAGGAGGCCGACGACAGCCGGTTCGGAGGTAATGAGGAGGGAGGAGGTGAGGATGGGACAGAGGCGGAGGTTTTGGAGGCAGGAGCGAGGGGGGGAGGAGGAGGAGCGGAGAGGTGCTGGCTGATGATGATGTGGCTGCGGGGGCCAGGGGGCGAATCGGCGCGCTGCGCACGCGCTCGCGCGCCCGCGCCGCGGGGGCCAGCCGGGAGGCGAGTTGGAACAACAGCTCCAAACCCAAGCCTGCGGAGGCGCCCGCGAGGACATCCGCGTCGCCCGTGCTTTGTGGGGACCGACTCCCCCTCCCTCTCCTCCTCCTCCTCCTCCTCCTCCTCCTCCTCCTCCTCCTCCTCCTCCTCTCCTCACTCCTCACTCCTCCTTCTCCTTCTCCTTCCCTCCTCCTCCCTCCCCTACCCCTTCCCCCTCCTCCTGCTTCTCCTTCTCCTGCTCATCTCCTCTCCATGTTCTCCTCCTCCTCCTCCTTCTCCTCCACCTCCTCCATCTCCTCCTCCTCCTCCTCCCGCCCCTCTACCTCCTTTTCCTCCTCCTCCTCCTCCTTCCCTTGCCTTTTCTCCTCCCTCGTCCTCCTCCCTCCTTCCTTCTTCCTGAGAGGTCGAGAGGTCTAGGTTTTTTTGTCGCTGTTCTGTTTGGAAGGAGGAGCGGGAGCAGGAAGGCGATACGTGAAGCAGAAGGACGTCCGAGGGAGGGAGAGCAGCATGAGAAGGAGCAGGCCGAGGAGGTGGAGGAAGAGGAACAGCAGGAGGACAACAGGGGAGGAGGAGGAGGAGGAGGAGGAGGAGGAGGAGGAGGAGGAGGAGGAGGAGGAGGAGGAGGAGGAGGAGAAGAAGGAGGAGGAGGAGGAGGAGCAGGAACATGAGCATGGGCAGGGGCGATGGAGGAAGAGTCTTCTTGTCATTGTTCCCCATGTGGGCCTTGTGCTATCAGCGTAGCCCCCGGAAGCGCCAGCGCCTGCTGCGGCCCCTTCGACCAGCAGGCTGGTGGCCGATGGAGTGCGGACGCTTTGCGGCCAGACCCACCTAGAGTCCATCGGGCGGGGGGGGGGGCCAGGCCCAGGTTTCGATGGGGAGGGCTGGACCTGGTCGCGGCTTCAAGTCGGCGAGGCACGGCTCGTCGCTGCTGGGCCGATTGCTCCGCCTGGATCCCAGCGGTGTTGTACTGCTCGTCGTCCTTCAGATCCTTCGCCTTGCCTTTCTCCTCCTCCTCTTCCTCCTCCTCCTCATCATCCTCCTCCCGCCGTCTTCCCCTCCTCACTTCTCCCTCCTTCCCCTTCACGCCTTCCTCCCCAGATGCCCGACGTCGTGATGCGTTTCACAACGTGCCCCCCCCCCCCCGAAGCTTTGGATCCCTTGCCTGAAGCGTGTGCGTCATCCTGGGCCGTTGTTGATGGTCATCCGAGGCTCAGCGCTGACCAACACTCTTTGCCGTGTTTCTGTTACGCCACGAGGATGGCAGGGTCCCTCTTCTCTCCGTACCCTCCGTTCCGCCTCTCGTTTGAGGCACCTGGCCCTCCGCGCGACAAGGAAACCGAAGAAGGCCGAGGAGTATAAGGGATCCGACGCCGACTTTCCTACGCTGGGCGGTGCTCTGCTTAGCCTCATGCGAGCAGTGAGAGGAGAGCGAGGAGGATGAGGAGGAGGAGGAGGAGGGAGGGGACAAACGAGGAAGCTGATGATGTTGATGATCATGGTGATGACGGTGATGGTGTTGATGATGATGATGATGATGATGATGATGATGATGATGATGATGATGATTATGATGATGATGATGATGCTGATGATGATACTGGTGCTGATGCTGATGACTGCGATGATGATATTGATGATGCTGCTGCTTATGATGATGATGGTAGTGGTGATAATGATGATGCCGTCGATGGTGCTGATGATGCTAATGATGATGCTGATGATGATGACGATGATGATGATGCTGATGATGATGATGATCATGACCATGATTGTCATGCTTATCATGATTGTCATGATGATGAGGATGATCATGGTGATCATGATGATCATGCTGATCATGATGATGCTGATGCTGATGATGGTGATGATGATGATGAAGATGATGATGATGACGATGACTATGATAATGCTGATGATGATGCTGATGATGATGACGAGGAGGATGAGGATGAGGATGAGAATGAGGATGAGGCTGAAGATGAGAAAGAG